AGCGCCAAAAACGCAGTGGATTCCAGGGTCGCCAAAGTGGGCCTCCCTAGTATGAGCCTGATCCTTGACTCGACGCTAACGTGTCGCAAGCGTGGCACACCTGCAAAGGCCCATTCTGGGACAGTTTCTTCTGAGTTCATTGGGACATGAACAGCTAAGGGGACTTGATCAATAGGATAACCACCGAGCTGTTCTTGTTCTAGCAGGGTGACACTACAGTCCCTGAAGACAATGGTGCATTCTCTACCTTGCTGCAACTTATCCCAAATTGGGTCCTCTAGGTAGGTTTGCGTGGTGGTGTGTAAAAAGTCAATGACGCACCCAAAAACTTGGAGGTCAGTGACCGAGGCCAGATAATCCATAACCTGGTCTTCTAAATCTGTAAATCGGTCGAACTTGGCGACACTGAGAGAGACCTTAAAGGTAACCCCCGAAAGCGCAGTCAGCAACAGGGGGCATTCCATGACTGGCTCCTTTTCGATGGGAGTGCTACTCATGGATGAACTGTCAAGCTCTTTTTGCGGCAGGCTATTTGATATCATTGTGCGAGTCACTGGTGTCCAGTCTGCACATGGGCTATTCCTACGGCCGGGGATGTTTCCTTAAGACAGCTAAGGCACCTACTGTGAGAGGATATTGGACATCTTTGATGCGACTTGAGCATCTACCGTCTAGAACAATGCATTACGAGCCACTTTCAGGGATTTGAGCGCCCCTGAGTTCACGACAATGCACCACGAACCTCTTTGGTACTATGTGAGTCAAAGCGGTTTGAAGGTCTTTGACTCGTACCTTCATGCGTAGCTTTTGGAGTGTTTTGAGCCAAGTACAGTTCAAGAGGATTTGGCACGTTGGTTTTTCTGCGACCACTTGATGTGGAGTTCACTTTGCGCAACATGATGCTTTTGAAAGGAACCCACGTGGTCGACTTTTGCATAGCTTGATGTGAGCAGTCAATGTTTTTACGTTGGCTCAAGCTCAACGTAAAGCCAGAACAAGTCAAGCGAACACGACACGTTTGCTTGCGTGTGTGTGAGTGAAGGAAAAGTTGAGGGGAGTCCGATCTTGTGAGTCATTTGCTTTTTGGATCGATACGTTCGAGTTCGTTGATCGTTGTTCTTTAAAGGCACCCGCCCGGGCTCTCCCTGTGCTTCGTGTAAGGAAGAACGCTGTAGGTAGCAGTACCGCGACGCGTCTTGTAGCGTACACGTAGCTTCGCATGGTAGCGGAGCACTGGGCTCCGAAGGTCGCTAGACGTAGCGTCTTGTGTTCCAGGGCATAATGCAGCAATCAGGCGCGCAAGCAGCAGTAGGCAACGTCCCGAGTAGTCCTACGCACTTGTTAGAGCAAGGCGGAATGTCAGAAGCACCACCACGGATCCCGAGTACGCCCAATCAGAGTACGCCAGGTAGCGTGAATGGTTCGCAGGGTAGAGGTCGTGTGACACCCAACGCACCACACATGCCGAACATGCCAGGAGCAGGATTAGGATGGGGTCACTCGAACTTAGCTGGTCAGAATCTTAGCAGTCAGAACCCCAGTGGTCCGAACCTGAGTGGTTTTGCGCCAGGACTGGGTCAGTTCCCTAGCCAAGTGCCCAACTTAGCAAGTGGCGATCCTAGAATCTCAGTTGGGAATTGTGGAGGATACGGTTGCTGTGGCAGTTGCACACCAGGACCTGGATGTAGCAGTGGTTTTGTAGGTCAGGCAGGACAAGGTTGTGGCTCTTTGTTTCCCTGTTTAGGTGTGAATCCGGTTGGAGTGCAAGACGTTGTACGTTTAGCAGAGGGTATGTCTGGTGCACAGGTCCTATCCTTAGCTCAATACTTTCAAGAACAAGTTCGGAGAAGGACTCACGCGCAACCAGATTTGTTTGGACAAGTACGGAGTGCGCCAGCAGAACCGTTCATGCCTGACTTGTTGGCGGCAGGTTTGCCGTTGCCAGTGGAAGCGCAGAGTGCACGGCAGCAAGCTGATGGTGCAGGTAGTGACAGTGGTTGGAACCAGAATGATCCATTTTCACGGACGGACAAGTGGATTGGAAATCCACCTCAGCCATCCTTTGAGAAGTGGCGTGATCGTGAAAGTGAAGTGCTCAATTGGGCGCAGTATGTGGCGGATTTGTCAGCATGGGCGTCCCAAGCATCTTTGCAGTTTGGGACTGAGATTCTGCAAGCGTCTAGGTGGAGCACACCAATCCGTTGGTCATCAATGACGTTGGTGATGAGAAGTCGTAGTATGCGTTTGTTGGCTATTTTGAGATCCACGTTCATGGGCCATCCCAGGAGTGCCACGTTGATCCATGCTTTCATGGAAGGAGTGGACATTCAGGCCATGACCTCTGACGGTAGTGCAGGAACCAGTGCGAACGGATATGAGCTTCTGCGTCAGCTTACGCAGGAATACTCCTTGAGGACACGCAATGAAGCACTTGTTTTTCGAACTGCGTTGGCGTCCAAAAGTTTTGTTCTCACGGCTCAAGAAACATCTCCTTCGTCGCTCGTGAGTGATACCGTACGACGTATCGAACTTGAAGCTGCTAGATATCAGCGATTGTTGAGTACACTCCCGTCGACGGTTGATGCTGTAGGGCTACAGGTGTCAGAAGCTGATTTGCTCATGGTGTTGGTGCGCAGTTTGCCAGAAACCGTGCGCAACTATGTTTTGCACCATGCAGAAGGAGAAAGCTACCAAGCATACCGAAGTGCAGCATGTAGATGGGAACAGCAGCAAAGGATGTTTACGGATTTGGTCCCTTTAGGAGGCAAAAAGGTATCTCAGGTGACACACCACAAGGAGGAGCAGCAACAACAACAAGGAGCAGAATGGTTTGATTTGAGTGAAAATGACGAAAATTGGTTTGTTGATGAGTTGCAGGGTTCCGCACAAAAGTGTGGAAAATGTGGGAGTAAGAAACATCAGACTCATGAATGTAGTGTTGATTTGACCAAAATCAAGTGTTTCCGATGCAACCAGACAGGACATGTCTCGATGAATTGCCCGCAATCTCGCTTTGCAGGACCAAAAGGAAAGGGTCAAGGCAAAGGCTCAAAAGGTTTGGACGGACGAAAGAGTTCTTGGGTAAAACAGGACATGTTCAAGAAAGGAAAATTTGGAAACGGAAACCAAGCAGGCAAAGGTAAAGGTGGAAAGAAAGGAAAACTGAATGAAATTGAGTGGACCGCAGAAGATCTGTGGTGGGACAGTGAGGAGTCTTGGTGGGGAGATGGATCCCCGGTAGCCGCGACTTGGAGTGACGCGGCATGGCACGTGCAGGAGGATTGGCATTCTGGCTGGGTTGAGACCAGTCAAGATGGCTACGGCACAGGCGGAGAGCTTGCTTCAGAAACTCAGTATCGCACGGATGCTGTGAAGTCAGAAGGAAATGCACTTGGAAGTTTGATTCTTTCACCAGTTTTTGTCCTTTGTGATTTTGTGTCAATGCGGCCTTGTTTGGAATTGGAACCACCGGAGCACGACGCAGAGACTGCGACAGAGCCTTCGAAGTGTCCAGATTTGTCCGGACCTTTGGCAAAGGGCTTAGAGAAGAGCGCAGGAGAAACGACAATCGAAAAGACGCATGGAGATGCACATTCATGTCATGCTCTTCCGGCTCTGTCTGACTTCCCTTCCCCCGCAAAAGAGGGGGGGTCCAAACGTCGACGTTTGGACGGGGTCTTTTTGGATGGGTGTCCTGTCAGTTTTCCAAGCGAACAAATATCGGGCATTCCACAGTCATGTCATGCTTCGTATGTGCAGTGTGGTTTGAGAGACGACAAACGGGTTGTTTATGCAAACGAGACGAGTCAAGAGTTGTGTGCACTTGAACCTCTCCGAATTCGACTTCTTTTGCCGTGTGTTTCAACTTTTTTGAACGAGACGAAACAAACGTTGTCAGTTGCAGCTCAGTCTGTGAAGTGGGTACCAGTTTTAATGCCCCTCTTGTCTGAAATGGTGACAGATGATAACACTTGGTGGTTATTAGATTCAGGTGCGAGTGCCACGGTCATGAGCAGCGCATGCAAACATGTGTACATGGTGCATGATGTTCAGGCAGCAGTAGATGGTGATCGCTACAGGGCTGCGAATGGAAGTCAGGTGCACATGCAAGGCGAGGCATCCGTATCTGTTTGCATGATGTTGCGTAATGATTCCAGGTCTTCAGACTCAAATGTGGAAGGGTGCGCATGGAAGAAGGCAACGTTGCGTGCTCTTGTAGGAAACATTAGGCACAACATCCTGTCCACCACAAGGCTATGCGCTGGATGTTGGAAGTTTTCACAAAGCAATGAAGGTTTCCAGGTCACACACAGCGCGACTGGTCAGCGTCTAGGCGAGGTGGCATACTTTGCAGGTTGCCCTTGGGTTCGACTCCACCCTGTAGAAACTCTAGATCGCAATACTGATGAGGCCGAGGTGTCAGGATCACAGCAATTGTCGTTGTCTACTATTACAGGTGTGCCTGAGGTGACCACTTCTGAGAAGGGTTATGAACTTCCTGTATACCCGTTGTCACGAGCAGCAGCGCGTGAACTTGAGCAACACCGTGCACAAGGACACACACCTTTTCACCCAGGTTGCGTTGAGTGTGCGCGAGGACGAAGTGTTTTCTCCCATCGGCGACGATCGGAGGAAGGGTTGCAGTGTGAGATACAAGCTGATTTTTGTTATTTGAAAAGCCAGGGTGAGATTTTGGAAGATGACCAAGGCTTGGGAAATATCAAAATTCTAGTTCTCGCAGAACTGGTGTCGAATGCAGTTGGATACATCGTTGTCACAAGTGACCTCAAGGCGGTCAAGAAGAGGATTTCCAAATGGCTGGAGCTATTTGGATTGGCGTCGACATCAGGGGCCACGTCAGTGGTTTTACACACTGACGCGGAACAGGCAGTGGGAGATCTCATTTCAGATTGCTCAGAGAGGATTTCGTTCCTAGTGAGAAAGGCAAATCCACAGCAGCACCGGAGTGTGGGTGCAGCAGAGCGTGCCGTTCGCAGACTTAAGGAGAGCTTGGGTGTTTTGCGAGCTGACTTGAATAAGTCTGGAGCCGATTTGAACTTTACACCAGACAGTGTGGCAGAAGCATTGACGTATTTGGCCTTAGTTCACAATCATTTCGGCAAGACCCCTAGTTCAGACTTTTCACCGCTGGAGACTGTGTGCGGCAGGCGACTTAGCAAACCCACATCAACTTTGTATGGCGCTACAGTGCTGGCTGAGTTACCAGATGCAGTTCGTTTCCGCGCTCCAAACGAAACTCGGAGTATCGAAGCGGCGTATTTGCACGCAGGACTTGATCATGGTCCCAAGGTTCAAGGGTTTGTGCGGTTTGAAGGCCAGCTTGTTTTGCATCAATTTGTTGCTAGAAATGTGAGACCAATTCTCCCATTGAAGTGGGATGCAGAGATGGGAGCAGGGTTTATCACCATGAGTGGTCACCCGATTGAGGTTGAGGATTTTCATGTGTCGAGAGGAGCGCTGGTCGATCCCCCGCAGGCCGAGCATGCAGCTAGTTCAGCTTCCCGTCCGCAAGGTATGGAACAGGAACCACGATTGCCATTGCCAGGACCTGAGGGCGTGCCCGTGCCTCAAGAGAGAAAGCGCATGCATCAGCAAGAAGCATTTGAGGCCAATCAACCAAAAGTACCTAGAATAGAAGAACCTCCTTTTGTTCCAGAGTCAGAGTCGGCTGTGCGACAAAAAACTCCTAGCCAACTTGCTGGTGAACCACAACCCCGGGTGTTTCAACCGACTCGTTTTTGCCCCGCTTGCGATACAGGAATGGTTGCGCCTGGAATCAGGCATTCAGCGCAGTGTCGTCGTCGCAGGGCAGCCTTTGATGCACAGGAAAAGCTCCAGAATCTTCCGGTACCATTGGAGGCCGAATACACCAGACAGTTCAAAAGAGCTGCTGAGACGGCAGTGCAAGATTTGGAAGAAGCGACCAGGGCGAATGCTGAAGCTGTGGAAACAGTCTCAATCTTGTCTTCCTTGAACTTGTTTTGTTTTGACTCCGGTGAATCACTAGAATCTTTGGATTTTAGGGTTCAAATGACGTCACCAACACTAGTTCTAGATGAGATCAGTGCCATACAATTTGATCATGGAAAGGAACATGTGTCCAAGCAACTCACTCTTGGGGGAGGCAAGGTTTTGATTTGGTGCCCTGATCATGTCATTGATGACAGCACGTTGGAGGCCTTAGAACCTAAGTTGGGTTTCGAGGGCATGTTGGAGGAAATTGGCAATGTGGAGAAGTGCAAGGCGGGGAAACTCTTGAGTGAACAACAAATGAACGATTTGAAGAGACTGAACAAAAACACAAGAGTAATACCTAGTAGATGGGTATGCGCTAAGAAATCCCCAGTCAAAGTCAGGACACGGATTGTGGCAAAGGATATTAAAAGGGGGACGACGGCTAGGGCCATGGGATACAGCTCACCCACTCCCAGTGTAGAAGGGTTGTTTCTTCTCCTTTCCTTGAGCGCTAGCAGGGATTTTCGAGTGAAGACCTTAGATATCAGTCACGCCTTCATGCACTCTCCCCTTCCGAGCTCCGAGACAATCTTATTGAGACTTCCGCTGTCTGTGAGCTTGGTTGATGGCAGTGTGGCGTATCTTCACTTAGATCGAGCGCTCAACGGGTTGAGAGATGCGAGCTTGAGGTGGTTGAATCTTTTGAGTGAGACTGTCAAAAGTCAAGGATTGTGGTCAGACGAACTTGAGCCCTGTATTTACCAGGGAGAAATCTTTGGTGAAGACTCTCAGGTGCTGGGCGTCGGCATGCTCATGGTGTACGTGGATGACATTTTGTTGTGCACCTCTACAGAGCAGGCAGAGAGGAGCGTGATCAATGCTATTTCGGCAGTTGTACCAACCAAGGTGACTGGACAGATTCTTCCGTCAGATGAAGGAGGCGGAAAGGTGTCATTCATTGGGAGACATCTTTATCGAAGGCCCCAGGAGAAAGCGATCTTTGTAGCAGTAGACCCAGAGTATCTCAACCCTACTTTCAAAGAATTTGGAATCACACAAGGATCGAGTGCTGTGCCTAACATAGCAGGCCTGATGGAAAAGAAGGATGCATCATCGAAAGCACCATTGTCGTCGGAAGCGTACTCCCGGTTTTGTCGGGGACTCGGTCGCCTCATTTGGTTAGCTCAGAGTAGAGCAGACCTCAAGTTATGGCTATCACTAATTGGTACACAGCAGTCAGCCCCAACACAAAGCACAGAAGCGGCCATTAGGGCAGTATTGAGGTATTTGTTCACAGATCGAAACACAGTCCTTCGTCTTCCATCTCCTGAGTATGAGGGAGTGAGACTCACAGA